CCTACAAGACATTCTACCAACTATCATAGTTGAAGAAAGTAATTAGTTTTTGCATTTTCTTCTGCGGTTTCAATCATAGTTGTCCGTTATTGACATATTGTGCGTAAAAATATCAGATTTTTTTGTTAGAGATTAGTTTGATCAGTTTTGCTTCGGAAGCCCATGGTTATAAGAACATACATTTAATTAAGTTGCAATTTGTATTCACACAACTAATGCCATACGAATAGTCCACAAAGAGTTTTTTTTTTTCATCTTATAACCGTGAATGTTGTTATGTACAGTTAGCAGAAGAGATAAAGCCACATCCACTAGTGATCTCAATTCTCACCAAGCTTGCATTGTTGATTCCAACATGGAAAATAGTTCCAGGAAACGATATTGTCGACATTGCAGTTAGAGAACCACATATAAGAAATCAGGTGATTGATAATGGCCGTCTAAATGTAACTTAATACTACTATATAATCAATTTTTTATAGTATTACTTAAGATGTTTATATTATTTATATGCAATTTACAGGTAAGGGAGAATGAGTATTGCTATAAAGGCAGGCCTCGCTTGAAAACCGCCTACGAACTCTTGATGGTTAGCTTGGATCTCGAGAAAAATCTTCATCAGGTTCTAATTTCTTATGATGAAGAAACTTTTTTTACACAACTTGATATATAGTTACTGAAGTATGGTTTCTGAATTGAACAGGTATCGATTCCTTTTATCGTTCTTCATGGAGAAGATGATAAAGTGACAGACAAAAGCATAAGCAAAATGCTATACGAGATGGCTTCAAGCTCGGACAAAACATTCAAGCTTTACCCTAACATGTGGCATGCTTTGTTATTTGGGGAAACTCCTCAGAATTCTGATATTGTGTTTGGTGATATCATAAAATGGCTCGAGGATAGAGCCTCCGACTCAAGCCAAAGATTAGAGAATGAGCTAAAACATAGGAATGATGGACTGTTAAAGCAAAAATAAGTGTAAAAACATTGCATAAGTTATGTAGCCATATGTAAACATATGAAAATACTTACAACTACAAGTAAGTGAATAATGTTCTACTATTTACTACAAGGCTTCGTATGGTTAACTATGTTTTTTAATGTGTTGTGATCGAGCATTATTTAACTATGGAAAAAGGTCATGTTATATAATTGATCTGTGATATGTTTAGGTATAATTTAAATTTGAAAAGTTAAAGAATTCGAAATCCATAAAACTGAAAACAACTTTATACTTCTGAAAAAAAAAGGATTTACGGAAGTTGGGTGTACCAATTCGTATTATTTTGAAAGCTGAAGGGG